TCTAAGAAGCAAGCAAAGAAACCGAAACAATCACCTCACAAAGTTCAAGCAAGGTCTAGAATATCACCAACGAGCATACCTGAGTTCTCTTGCATTTTTCTTCAACTTTAAGAGGTTTGTATGCTCAAATCATTTTATAATCATGTTATAGATGAGTTGAGGAGTTGATTGATGTATAATTATGTTATATATGTTCTTTTATTTAAGTGTATATAAGCATGCTAGAAGTTAAAATTATTCCCAGCTCGCATGATAAATCACGTTTTCACAGTCTCTGTTGTGCCTCTGTTATGACCATCATAACTTGTTTTATGAACATTTATTCTACATATAAATTGTAGTTTATCCTGTTAGCTTTCTCTGGGTTTTAGAATTTCATAAATCTGATTTATATCGAGTGAGTTATGATTTTTACAAAAAGAGTGCGCAAGCAGTTTTCTAAAAACCCGGCAACATGTACTATTTAATGTATTACCTATTTTGTGTGTCTTAATATGCTCAAATGAGTTTGTGATCTGCATGAAAATTATAGTTCTTAGAGTTCTTATGGGCTAAAGTTCATGCTAATATGATGTATGTAGCTCGAGTTATGTTTAATTGAATAAAGATATGCATGAAACGGGTTTTATACTTTTGGCAGAAATTGATTCTTAATGCTAATAGCCTTTACACCTTCTTAATGACCTTATCTGCTTCTGTGTTCAAAATGAAAGTTGTAGGGCTGCCTCTTAAATTTCTATGGATGTAAGAATCATGTCAATATGTTATAGGTAGTATGAATTATGTCCGTTTTACTGAAGCTGTGCACAAGCATGTTTAGGTTGCTTGGACTGCAACTAGGTTAATAATGTTAGTCAATATATGACCTGTAAATGCCATTAATTGCTTCTGAGGTCTTCATGAAAGTTATAGATGCATGTCTTAGGATCAATATGAGACTTGAATCATGTTCATACGAATAATGTGCTGAAAGTTATGTGTATTTCAAAAACGCTGCGCGGGTTAAGTTTGAAAAACCTGTGTTGTACCTTTGAAAATGGGATTTACTTGTTAAATGCATTCTTATATGACTTGGATGGGCTGAGTGGAATTTATTGCTATAAGTGTATTACTGAGTTGGATAGTCATTTATAGGGCTATCCTAATTTAATGTAGGTGTTTGACGAGCCGAGCTCACTGTCTACACGTACTTTAGTTATATCTCTTGCTTTCGACCAGGTGGGTTTGTTATTCTAAAATGTCTATACCATATAGGTTTTAAATGTGTTTGATTAATATTACCAATGTATGTATGTGAGCATGTAGCCTATCGATGTCAGCTGTTACGACCGTCGGTACGGTTGTCCCCGTCGATGTAATACGGTTTCCCGTTGCAATGCAACTCTCCTTAAGTCCTGATATGGCCGTTCCCTTGTGAGGTACGTAAGCCCATATGGAAGGCTGTGTCCGTAGCGTGACATGTACTCCCGCCTTCGGGTAATAAATACCCGTTCTGCGGCTATCGATAGATGTGCACAGGAGTAATGTGAATTGGTGTGATATTGTATACGAGATGAGACATGTTGTTATTGTTTATGTTCATGCTGCAACCATATCATCTTAAAATAATGTATATTGTTCATATGCATAATGGTGAGCACTACGTGTTCCATTTGTGCTCACTCCCACCTGCTCTTCACGGATGCAGGTTAAGCAGGTGACGGATAACGAGGCAAAGACGAGTGGGTGGTCATTATTTATTTCCTTTGCTTCCGCATTTTATAAACTTATGTAGAGACTTATGAGATATGTTGAAATGATTTTCAAACATATGTTTTGAATTGTTTAATTTGGGATACTCATGAGTATGTGTTTATTTGATGTCATGTCGTTATCCATTATTCATGTTATTACGCTTTAGCTGAATATCATGTGAGATGTTGCGAATCGGGCTAATGAAAACCATGTGAAAAATCGGGTAATGAATTCCCGTGCGACCAAATACGACTTGGTCAATGTAAATGTTTTGATTAATGCCCATGATTTCGAAAATGAGTTCGAAAAATATTTTACTGATTTCTGGAAAGTTCTGAATTTCTTTAAAATCAAAGCGGGGTGTTACAAAACATGCACTTGATCAGTGGACTAGCTTACAACAGGATGTGCATTCCTTCAAAGCCTGGTGGATAGAGGTGTGCTTAATGCATAATCAAAAGGCTGCTCAAGACATGATCCAATTAACCACCTACATTCTATGGTGATTATGGAAATCCAGGAACTTATGTGATGGAGATGAAGCCGCGATGGCTT